TAGCCTTGTAATTTTGAACCCAGTCCAGAAGACAAGGGAACTCCTTGATCGAGTATTGGAAGAAATTTGCGCTCGTGGAGTACTTTTTGAAGGAACTAACCCGTTACATAGAGAAGAAAACCACAAAACCTCCCACGGTTAGCCTGACGGCAAGGGGGCCATGATCCGTCTAGCACTGAGGATATTTCACGTCGGCAATGTGGTCGGTGCAAGCCGGATGAGAAATTCGTATCGACTGGGATTTGAACCCGGTTCGCCTCATTGGAAGGCAAACGCTTTATATATTTAATTTGGTGAAGACTGTGAATAACGATATAAAAGGTCAACAACGAAATCGATGGAGTAATGCAAATATTTGTATTAATAAAGGGAAAGCAGTCAATGAGTTTATTAAAGAACCAAGTTTTTTAAAAGTAATTGCTCTAAGATTAACAACCCACGTATGCCATCAGGTTCTCTTAACAATTCTCTGAACAAATAAAGTATTTTTTCTTTTCAATTTAAAATTCAATCAGAATGCATTTTTTGTTCTCATTCTTATCATGAGTTGCTTTAACCCCTTCCTTCTCGCTCCCGTGAAAATGACGGGGTGAGGTTTCGCCCTCGCTCCCGTGATATTGACGGGCTGGAGTGTTCAGTAGTAACGCACCAATAAGAATAAAACTAATTTTTTTCTTCTGCCCGGAAACCATTTTATTTCTAATTTTACACACCAGATGGCAGTATCAGGATATTTTTAAGGTAATTGTAGATAGTCAGTTTATTTAAAACTAGATGTCAGCACGAATCAAATACATAATACAAATACAAAAGCCAAAAAAAATCGGCACTTTCATGACCGTTTTCTTGAAAATTAACCGATAGTTAAGGGGTTAAATTCAAATTGACGTATATATGACGTATATAAATTGACCTTTTTTTTAACTGCTTTAAACCTACTATCGTAGTTTATTTATGTCTATTGAAAAAAAGTTTATGTGCAATCGGACAGCCAAGTGGTATTTAGTAAATTAAAACTTTCGCTTAGAAATTATGATCTTTGAGCCGGATGAGAATGCAACCATACCTAATTCGGTGAATTTTGTCCTCCCGAAGAAGAAGAAGAAAAACATGTGAACATCTTTGACATAAAAACGTGTACCTGAGAAATTCGCTAGATATCGAAAGAGATAAACTGGATTAATTCATGTATTTGAAAGTGGGCCTTATCAATAGATAAAAATGACACTGAAGAGTTTTTTTTAACTTTCTTCCCAGTTGTCAAGTTGCTTTTAAGAGGGTAGAAGAGATACCTGAAACACTCAATTTCGTAATCTTTATTAATTCGGACCAAAAAGAAATGCAGTTAACATATTTTTTTCTCTTAGAATTATATATATCTTTTTTACAGGTAAATCTGTCTGATTTTGAAAACTGAAAAAACCGGAATACGCGTTAAGTGCTGTAGTGCATAAATATTAATTGATATACAATGTAATTAATATTGTCATAAGAAATGTGATTGGAAATTTGCTAACTACAATTCTAGCTATTATTACAAACTGTACCCCCCCCATCCCCGTGGCATTTATTTAAAACATTTAAAACATTACATTTGATGGTCAACATTTATACCTATATAATTAGACAGAATATATTTAAAAGGTTAAAACAAATTCAAGCTTGTGAGTTACGTTTTTAAGGTCTAAGGACCCTTACAAATTTTACTACCCATATCACTTTTACTAATAGAGTTAACAACTAGTTTTCGAGATTCAATTTCATCTGTGTAACATTAGGCTCATAATTTAAATGAGATGATTCTAAAGTTAAAAAAGTTGATAGTTTGAAATTAATAAAAGTAGAAAAAGCCCACAATTATAAAACCGGAATAGGAGTCAAAAGTTAAAACAGTTGAAAATTTAAAAGTAAAGTGGAAAAAGTCCACAATGAAAAAACCTAAACAAGAATTAATTTAAAAGTTTGGAAAAGCCCTGTAATACAAATTATTAAAACATGGAGGATTTTTAGAATGGATAGACCAAGTCGAAAGGCAGGAGATAAAATTGGAGCAGGGTAAAGCAGTTAAATCACATTGTAAATAACATTAAAATATGTAATAAGTTAAAAACATTAAATAAGTATGTGAAAAAGTTATAAAATAACATAAGTTAAAACGAGTTTGCTAAAATCAAATAGATGATGGTTCACTGGTAAAAATTTATAATTAAAATCAGTGGAGAAATAGTCAGTGTTAACGACTCGGTGAAGGGCAGAGTTGGATAAAAATGTAAGAAAACTTAATTTTGATTACGACTGTAATCGTGATTACAACAAACAATTACAGTATTCAATTAATTGTAATCGTGATTACAGCTGTAATCGTGATTACAATAGTCGATTACAGTAATCAATTACTTGTAATCAATTTTTATCAATTACTTGCAATCGTGATTACAACTTTCAAAAATTTTGATTACAGTTATAATCAGGATTGCAATATTGATTACAGTAATCAATTACTTGTAATCTTGATTACAGCTGTAATCAGGATAACAATATTGATTACAGTAATCAATTAATTGTAATCTTGATTACAGCTCTAATCAAAATTTTGATTACAACTGTAATCATGATTCCAAGTAATTGCGATTACAAGCAATCACAACAAAAACCATTAAGGGTAATCACGATTGCAAGTAATCTAAATATATATGATTACATGTATTCTTGATTACAAGTAATTGATTACATAGGTAATTATCTGTAATCAATTACAGTTGTAATCGATTACTGTAATCGACGGCCAATTCTGGTGGAGGGACGGTTACTGTTCAGAGTTTATTTGGTGCTGTTTTATGTTAAGTGTTATTTAGCATGCCCTCTAGGGCAAGGGTGGCGAACCTTTATGCACCAGCGTGCCATTTTTTCTAAAAAATTGTTTAATTTGGTCATAGACGTGCCGTCAAACAATTTTGACTTCGTGATTATTGGGAAAGAATAACACTATCTGCTATCAACTCAAAACTCTTTATTTACTATGAAAAAGAATACATTTCGCAATGTCTCAGTTATACGCGTAATTCAACTTAAAGTAACATCAGTGAGACTTCTGTTGTTGCAGATTAGATGACAAATAACTTATATTAGGTTGTAAGACGTTATTTTAAGCAGGTCTGTAAATTTTTTTTTGCTAGTTATTTATTGTTAGCTTGTTTTTTATGGTAATTAATTGTTTTTTGGCATTAATTGTAATTTTTTTGTTAATAATTGTTTATTTTTTTATGTTTGTTTCTGTGAATTTTAATTTAATTGGTAAATTGCTTTACAGTGAACTTCGTGATCGGTGACGTGCCCAAAATACTATGTGGTGTGCCATAAATGGCACGCGTGCCATTGGTTCGCCATCCCTGCTCTAGGGTGTCCTCCAGGATGATCATGTGAGCTGATTTTTATTCGTACACAAATAAAATACATTTTTCATACATTATTTTTGATAAAGTATTGTAGAAGTTAAAATTGCATTTTAAGATATCAAAAATTTAAAAAAAAAAAAGAAAATAAACTTGTCCTTAAATATATATTTAGTTCTAAATATCAAATTTATAGTAAGTTTCAAATTGAATATATGGAGAATTAACGAAAATTTGCACTGTTTCTTGTTCGTACACTAATGCTAACAATTTCTCATTCATTATTTTGTTAAAGTATTTCAGAAGTTAAAATCTTATTTTGGGATATCAGAAATTATTTTTTTAAAACAAAATGCTTTTCTTAAAATGTAGCTAGCTGTAAAATAAAATTTATAGCGAGTTTCAAATTGAATATATAGAGAGTTTCAATTCGAATTAATAAATCGAAAGAATAAATAAATCGAAATAGTTGGGAGTAAACACGAGGAGTTGATAGGAAATGAACAAAACGAATTATTATGGAGTTCCAAATAAAGGAAATGGAAATTGAATGAAAGCAATTAATATAGAGTTATAAAAAAAAAAGGATCAGAGTTTCTGAACTGCTTTAGCGTCCTCAGTTCCGTACAAGTGCAAAATGAAAAAATAAATTATATCGAAAACTTTTAATTTAATTGGGGATTTTTGCATATTTATATGCGATTTTAAACTATCAAGGGATTCCCTTTATATTATTCATGATAAATAATTAAAAATCCAAAAACTATAGTTAGATGCTTAGTTTTTTTAAAACTGATTCGTATTCTTGAATCTCGATAAATGTACGAAGTAATCACGTGAGAATTGAAAGCATGCGCCGCCAAATCTTGAAAATTGTTTTTACAAAAATCTCATTCGCACGTAGGAACATAGTTTCTAAGCGAAATATTTTAAAAATATTTCATGTAATAAATATTTTAACTTTATTAAACTCTTTGTTTTAAGAGAAATGTAAGATTATATATTTTAGCACTATGTTAAATGAAAAACTTGAAATAAATCTGGGTCGGGGGTTGACAATTTTTGTAAAGAGAAGCTCTTAAATGCTTTTGTAATCTGCAGAAAAAAAATTTAATTTTTCAAAAATTATTCAAGAGCTGTTTATTTCACATTTGAATTTTTTAGCGCAGTTATAAATATTTTAATTATTAAAATTTTTGTTTAACAAATTCGATTAAGTTTACGATTTTAACCACACAAAATTCTCTCAATTCTATAGTATTTTCCGGATTCTAGAATGCGTCGTAGTTTATCTCGATCTTTTGAAATAAATATAATAAAACTTATTCGATTACTAAATACTTCAGTTTAATAAACGAATTTTATTTAAAATGTTATTGTGAGTTTTCAAATGATTTAAAAAAAATTTAAAAACTCTCAAGTTATCTACAAAATCTTTTTCTTTAAAATATTTCTAGTTCTTTTGAAGTTTTAAGAAATTTCCGGGAAACACGGTTGTAGTTACTTCTTTGTTAAATATCATTACCTAATTTATCTTTTCACAAAAGAAAAAAAAAGACAGCTGGATGATTGAAAAAAACATTTCGGTGAGGGCGCGCCAATCATCACCACTCTTTCGTTAGGGCAAGACCGGCAGAAACGTCAGATAAATTGTTTGCCACGAAAGATCGTCTGCTCTCATGGACGTTCCAAAGTTATCGTCTGCCGTTCGGAATAACTTATTCTAAAAGTGATTTTCAGAGAGTGGTAGGAGGAGTTATGCGACCGGGTTGTAACCGAACATGAGTGCTGAAGTGCCAAAAGATGGAAATATAATACAAACTGAAAATGATTGCCTGGACAAATATGAAAATCACATAATAATAGGTAAATAACAGTATTTTTCCATTATCAGTGATAGCTCCTCAAAAATTATTGTGATAAAACTTTTTGATCTCTTTTTTTTTACACCTGTTGAATTCAGAACATTTCTTTTCGCTTTTAGAAATTATTACAGTAGAAGAATTTCATCGTTTTTCGTTAAAAATATAACTTTACACTCTAACTTATTCATAGAATTAATTTTCCCCGTATTCTTCTTATTAAAAATTTTAATAAAATTGATAGAGCGTTTTGAAATTAATGAACTATTTCATTTAAATTGTGTTGGATATTGAATAGAATTGTATTTGTGTTGGATATTGAATAGAACTTAGTATTGAACACGACGGAGGAAAATTCGTTAAACTGTTTATTAAGATTGATTACAAATATAATTCATTTAAGAATTTAATTATTTTTCTTTATAATATTATTTTCTAGTTTGTTCATGGAACTAATTTTTCTCGCATTTTTCTCATTAAAAATTAAAAACAAATTGATAAAGCGTTTTGGAGTTAATATACTAATTTTCCTCAAATTGCGGTAATCGATAAAATTTTTCATTGAGTATTTGTGTTGGATATGGATGTACTGGATTGTACTGGAGAGAAAGGCTATAGACTTGGCTATTCGGAATATTTGGGTTCGCTTTAAGAAATTTTCATCGTAGAAGAATTTAATTATTTTTCTTTAAATTTATATTTTCAGTTTGTTCATGGAACTTTTTTCGTGTTTTTCTTACTGAAAGTTTTAAAAAACATGGTAAAGCGTTTTGAAATTAACATACCTTTATAATTAAATTATGGTGATGGATAATATTTTTTATTAAGTATTTGTGCTGGATATTGATTAGAACTAAGTATTGAACACGAAAAATGAAAATTTGTTAAGGTTCATATTGATTGTAAATATCTGACATATGTAAAAGTTCTTTTTTTTCAGCGCAATTTTTGTTCATTTCATTTACAATTTTATTTATAATTTAATTTTTAGTGTTGATAACTTAATCTGTATGACTTCTAACTTTTGTAAAAGGGTTAGGAAATTCTAAAAAGATGAATTAAATAGTGTTTTAAAATATATTAATTTTCACGATGTTATTCATTTCTATATTCATGAGGTATTCATGAGGATTCATGAGGATTTCTATATGCATGAGGTAATTTTGTGTTACTGCTGTAAACTGCTAAAAAATGTTTGCATATTTGCAGTATTTTCAATTATATATATTAATAGTTTATATTTAGAAATAATATTTGCAGTATCTTATTATATATATTTCAATTATATTATAAATGAAATAATTCATCTGGTTAGTTATAAACATTTCCTTTTAGAAAATAGTTTTGCTTAACTTTAAGTAAAAATTCGACTTATTTTCTTTGTTCTTCGAGGAATAAAAATTATTTGTATATTTCCCAATTACAGAAAAAATTTATTAAAATTCTAAGGGACATTGTAAATTAAAAATTTTTTCTAACAAATCATCAATCACAATTAAACTTCCTATTTATTGCGTGAGTGGAAATTATTTTTAAACATATTTTACATTAATTATCATTGTAATTCTTTAAAATAATTTTAAACTATTTATCCTTAAAATTTGTAGAACTAATATTATTTGTACGTCTTCCAATTTCTGCAATAATAGGATGAAATAGCACTTAACAAAATCTTGTGTTGGCGAGAGCTTTTCCGAGTTATCGCCAATATGAACATCGATCTCTGTAACCGATAGAACGAATTTTTATTTCTCGATATATTGGTGAAAAATATCAATATTTAACAATATATCGTGATGTTTTTCAATTTAAAAAATGTTTGATTTTTTTTTTACATCTGCCAATATTTTAGTTAACAAAATAAAATTTATTAACACTCCGAAAAATATCGTAATTAATTAATATAACTATGTTAATATATCGTATATAATGTAATATATACGTGTTATATATCTATGTTAATATAGCTATTTTAATATATCACAGACCGACCTGTGTAGGGGTCAGGGAACAGACTTTGCATCAGAAAGGTTCTGGGCTTGAATCCCGGGCAAGGCATGGATGTTCTTTCATTCTCTGTAGTATCTGTTCTTACTGTAGGGGCAACGTTGACCCACCTAATATGGTGCCCCTGAAAGAGTGGCCAACTAATCTGACCTTCAGATGCCTGTATGACGAAAGGTCATTCTCCAAGTGGGCATTGTCCCGCAGTGGACTGATCGTTAAGACACGGTTCCCAGCAGATCACCGAAATCAAGCATCACTGGCTGCGGTCAGTGTGTGGGTGGGTGACCACTTGGATCAGTCTGCGTAGCGACCGAGGGTGTGCGGTATTGGTTCTCGTTAGACTGTTGTACCGTAAAGTGCTCGACTTCGCGTGCAGGTCGTTGGGCTACCGAAGCAGGGGTTCCATCCATAGAGTTGAAATAGTAGGTAGAGGAACCAAGTTCGCTTTATTCCTTCCGAAAAGACACGCCACAGATAGCAAGCAAAGAGTTACAATCACGTGACGGAAAGAGCGCAATACTTGGCGCAGTATCACAAATGTTGGCGCACTAAGTTTTTAAACAGCTTTATTTCGATATTACCGATGCGCAAATAATCGGAGCATTTGAAAGAGAGAAAAAAAATATTTTCGTTAATCATATTTCTTTAATATTATTAAATGGGTTTTTAAAACATGAGGAGTTTTTTTTCTCTTAACAAATAATTTTTAATTAAAGTACTGCCTTTATTTAAAAAAATTNTTTTCGTATTTTTCTTACGAACGTTTTAAAAAAACTTTAAAGTTTAATTGTGGCAATCGATAAAATTTTTCATTGAGTATTTGTCTTGGACATAGAGTTGTAATGGATAAAAAGGCAAATTTATAACTTTGCTTTTCAGTTTGTTCATGGAACAAACTTTTTCGTATTTTTCTTACGAACGTTTTAAAAAAACTTTAAAGTTTAATTGTGGCAATCGATAAAATTTTTCATTGAGTATTTGTCTTGGACATAGAGTTGTAATGGATAAAAAGGCAAATTTATAACTTTGCTTTTCAGTTTGTTCATGGAACAAACTTTTTCGTATTTTTCTTACGAACGTTTTAAAAAAACTTTAAAGTTTAATTGTGGCAATCGATAAAATTTTTCATTGAGTATTTGTCTTGGACATAGAGTTGTAATGGATAAAAAGGCAAATTTATAACTTTGCTTTTCAGTTTGTTCATGGAACAAACTTTTTCGTATTTTTCTTACGAACGTTTTAAAAAAACTTTAAAGTTTAATTGTGGCAATCGATAAAATTTTTCATTGAGTATTTGTCTTGGACATAGAGTTGTAATGGATAAAAAGGCAAATTTATAACTTTGCTTTTCAGTTTGTTCATGGAACAAACTTTTTCGTATTTTTCTTACGAACGTTTTAAAAAAACTTTAAAGTTTAATTGTGGCAATCGATAAAATTTTTCATTGAGTATTTGTCTTGGACATAGAGTTGTAATGGATAAAAAGGCAAATTTATAACTTTGCTTTTCAGTTTGTTCATGGAACAAACTTTTTCGTATTTTTCTTACGAACGTTTTAAAAAAACTTTAAAGTTTAATTGTGGCAATCGATAAAATTTTTCATTGAGTATTTGTCTTGGACATAGAGTTGTAATGGATAAAAAGGCAAATTTATAACTTTGCTTTTCAGTTTGTTCATGGAACAAACTTTTTCGTATTTTTCTTACGAACGTTTTAAAAAAACTTTAAAGTTTAATTGTGGCAATCGATAAAATTTTTCATTGAGTATTTGTCTTGGACATAGAGTTGTAATGGATAAAAAGGCAAATTTATAACTTTGCTTTTCAGTTTGTTCATGGAACAAACTTTTTCGTATTTTTCTTACGAACGTTTTAAAAAAACTTTAAAGCGTTTTGAAATTAATATACTATTTTAATAAAATTATAGTGATGGATAAAATTTTTCATTGAGAATTTGTGCTCGATATTGAGAACTTAGTATTGGACACGAAAGATGGAAATTCGTTAACTTATTTGTTTAGGTTCATATTGATTTTAATTATCTGAGATATTTAAAAACTCTTTTTTTTTCAGAACAATTTTTGTTCATTTCAATTGTAATTTTATTTATTATTTTTAGCGTTACAAACTAAATCTGTATGCTTTCCAACTTTTGTAAAAAAGCTAGGAAATTCTAAAATGATGAATTTATAGTTTTTTAAAATAGATTCATTTTCACGATGTAATATAGTCATGCCTGTGTGCATGAGGTAATTTTGCGTTACTTCGAACTCCACTGTAAACTGCTTAAAAAATGTTTTCATATTTGCAGTATTTTCAATTATTAATAGTATATATATATAAATTATAATATTTGCAGTATTTTATTATATATCTTTCAATGATATTATATATAAAATAATTCCTCTGGTTAGTTAGAAATATTTCCTGCCTTTTGGAAAATAGTTTTGCTTTATTTAAATAAAAATTCTACTTATTTTCTTTGTTCTTCGTGGAAAAAAATTATCTGTATATTTTTCAATTACAGAAAAAAAATTATAGAAATTCGAAAGAAAATAGTAAAATTTAATTTTTTTTAGAAAATCATCAATCACAATTAAACTTCCTATTATTTGCGTGAGTGGAAATTATTTTTAAACATATTTTACATTAATTATCATTGTAATTCTTTAAAATAATTTTAAACTACGTATGCTTAAAGTTTAGCTTCCTGTCTCATTTGTAGAACTAATATTATTTGTATGTCTTCCAATTTCTGCAATAATAGGATGAAATAGTACTAATCAAAATCTTGTGTTGGCGACAGCTTTTCCGAGTTATCGCTAATATGAACCTCGATCTCTGTAAGCGATAGAACGAATTTTTATTTCCCGATATATTGGTGAAAAATATTGATATTTAACAATATATCGTGATGTTTTTCAATTTAAAAATATGTATGCTCTTTTTTTACATTTGCCAATATTTTAGTTAACAAAATAAAATTTATTAACACTCC